CAACAACCTGGACTTGAAAAAAAAAGAAAAGAAAGAAAAAAAAAGAAGCGAAAAAGAATAGGAATTGAGAAAGTACTAAAGCAGTGAAGTACTAAGTAGTTAGCATGGCCTATTTAGTACATAGTAACTTTGGAAGGGTGTGATACTGTGAGCTCAGTGCTCACACTGCATGCTATTCCTTTCTTAGCTGTGTGTGAACCTGGTCTGCAATTGGGACCATATTCATGCTGATATTTATTCTGCGTACACAGCAGAGTGACATGAAGCGTGGTCAGACCTTCACATGTTCCGGCCTTTCAGCTCCATATCAAAGCTTGCCTTCTCTCTCTCTCTCTCTCTCTCTCTCTCTCTCTCTCTCTCTCTCTCTCTCTCTCTCATCGGTCGTGGTGCAGCAGGCTTCTTTTGCATCGATCGAGTGACCAAATGAAATACGACGTGAAGTAATGTTTTTCTCTTTTTTTTTTTGCCGAAAACCAAATCAATTGATCATGCCTCAGTTTTGGTGGTTGCAGAAGGATATCATATTCCATGAACCTCCTCTCCTCCCCTTCCTTCTCCAAACCTCCTCCCTTCCTCCTCCATGGTAGCAGATCATTGGCTTCTAGGGTTTAGGGTTTAAGGTCTACAGTTGCTGTTTATTCAATTTGTATATTTTAATAACTTGTGATTTGAACAGAGCTGGCTACCCACCAATCCAATAAATTATTATTGTTATTTGAACAGAGCTGCCTCCCGATCTTCTTCGTCTTTGCTGTATGTGCATGCTTCTACAGTGTGATGGAGTTTCATGCACGCATGCTCGAGGCTCAGATTGCTCATATCCTCTCCTCTCCTCTCCTCTCCTCCCCCTCTCCTCCCTCTCCTCCCTCTCCTCCCTCCCCTCCCTCCCCTGCCTCTCCTCTCTCCCCTCCCTTCCCTCCCTTCCCTCCCTCCCCTTCCTCCCTCTGTCTCCCATCCTTGCAGGCATGCTCGAGGCTCAGATTGCTCATATCCTCTCCTCTTCTCTCCTCTCCTCTCCTCTCCTCCCTCTTCCCTCCCTGCCCTCCCTGCCTCCCTGCCTCCCTCTGGCTCCCATCCTTTCATTCCTCCTCTCCCATTTCGCCCATTAGGCTCAGGTTCCTTGTCGTGCTCTCCCCCAACTAACAGAATTTCATCCCTCTCTCCCATTTCTCCCTCCCCCTTATGTCATTTATGGTCTGAGCGAGTTGTTAAGGCTCAGCTGCATTCTTTCCCTGAATGAGCAGCCAATTGCTTTCCTAAATGAGAGGCCTCTGTCAGAGTGGATGGATGGATCTCATGTTTGCCAGAAAAGGCAGACCCATGAAGGCAACTGCCATGATTGACCTTTGTTCGTTTGATAGCCTGCCTCTTTTTTTTTTTTTCCTCTCTTTTTTGTTCACAGGCCTCTTTTGGCTTTTTGTTAAACGGGTTCTCTGAATGCTGCTTGGATGACGACTGCTTTTGAACACTCTCCTCCCTCTCCCATGCTCCTGTGCCCCAGCTCAGTGGCCCTCCCAGCGATGCGCTGGCATATGCAGAGTGGGTGAAAGCGGACCACCGATTCTCAAATCTCCGCATCCAAGTTTCTCCATCGCCAATCGGACATGCATTTCCAAGGCTACGGTTGCAGCACAAGGAGGAACTTGTACAGGTCAGTCAAAATGGAATACTGCCTCCAACAGACTGCTCACCATCCTGTTTTCTTCTTCTTCTTTCTTTCTCCTTTCTTTCTTCTTTCTTTCGTTCTTCTTTCGTTCTTCCTTCTTTCTTCTTCTTCTTCTTCTTCTTCTTCTTTGTGCTTAGCTTTCACCCCAGTCAGCCGTTTGGTCGAGCGTCCAACTCCCGTGTGGGAGGTTGTCTGTTTGATCCTTTGTACCGGTTCATGGATGTAGGATTCCATTCTCACCCGCGTAGCAACCAGCAGTGAGATCGTACATTGTCTGGTTGCTGTGTCGAGGCCTGTGTGGTCAGGTGTGAGTGTGACTGGGTACACCGGGACCCGGAGATATCTGTGCTCGTCTGCGGTTAAGTACTCATCCTGGGCCTTAACTTTCACCCCAGTCAGGTTTGCGGTTTGGTTGAGTGTCCAAACTCCCTTTTGGGAGGTCGCATGTTTGATTCTTGGGACTGGCTCATGGGCGTAGGATTCAGTTCATTCCTCCTCCTTCCGCTCCTTCTCCTTCTCCTTCTTCTTCTTCTTCTTCTTCTTCTTCTTCTTCTTCTTCTTCTTCTTCTTCTTTGTGGTTGTCGTTGTGGTCGTGGTTGTGGCTGTGGTCTTCTTCGTCTTCTTCTTCGTTGTCATGGCCGTCGTTGCGGGCATTGTCTTCTTCTTCTTCTTCTTCTTCGTCTTCGTCTTCTTCTTTGTGGTTGTCGTTGTGGCCGTGGTTGTGGCTGTGGTCTTCTTTGTCTTCTTCTTCGTTGTCATGGCCGTCGTTGCGGGCATTGTCTTCTTCTTCTTCTTCTCCTCCTCCTCCTCCTCCTCCTCCTCCTTTGCACGTCCAAGTGAGACAGTAGAACGATTGTATTATGGCAGAAGGAAACTTTGATAAACAGGAAAGATTCGAGTACATTCTCCCTGTATCAGGCTTTCCTGCCTTGAATTGACACTAGATAGAGGTGGGTCCAAGCACCTCTACCTGCGAATGATCCATCTCCTCATTATTATTATCGTATACTTCCCACCTTCCTTATGTGGCTTTTCCCTGGCTTTGTTCTCCTTTTCAAAGGTTTGATGGATTTGAGTCGTTAGACTCATCATAGGCTCACTGTCTAGATGGAGTGGAACTGGGACTGTTTCTCAGTTTCGGTTGTCTGCTGTCATGATGGAAATTGGGTCCAGTGCCCCTTAGCAAAATCAATGAACCCTAGCCCTAGCCTCACTTTCCCACCAAACCGAATTCTCGAAACTCATTAAAGCTTTTGCCCAACCAACAGACAAACTTAAAGGGATTCTTCCTCCCCTTACCTTTCTGAGCCCTCCTACCCCGAATCCGGGCATGCCATCTGGCATTCACATCATTGTCATATATTCACTCCTGAACACTCTACCAGCCTTTTGAAAACCCCAAGGCCTTTCACCATCCCCATCCTTCACTGATGGAACCATTTGCCTGTCTTTGTTATGTCTTCCCTTTTGCCCTTCTGCCATTTTGCCCCTTCCTCCCTTTCTCCGTTTTGCCGTTTTGCCCATTTTGCCCGGTTTGCCCGTTTCGTCCGTTTTGCCCGTTTTGCCCGTTTTGCCCGTTTTGCCTTTCCCCTCTTCCGCTTTTGCCCTTTTTGCCCTTTTGCCCTTTTCCCCATTTCCCCTTTTACTTTTTTGTCCTTTTGCCGAGAGGCGGTTAACGGAGGCCCTAATTTTCAGACAACTTGTCATGCCATTTATAACAAAATCTAAGGGTCATTTTTGCCCGTTTTGTCCGTTTTGCCCTTTCCCCTTTTCCCCTTTTCCCCTTTTGCCCTTTTCTCCTTTTCCCCTTTTCTCCTTTTCCCCTTTTGCTTTTTCGCCCTTTTGCCGAGAGGTGATTAACGGAGGCCGTAATTTTCAGACAACTTGTCATGCCATTTATAACAAAATCTAAGGGTCATTTTAACCAAACTTGCCACCAAGTCATAGAGTAGAGACCATAGTTACGAACTGCAAAAAAAAAACGAAAAAAAGAAAAAAACACCTATAAAACAGCAAGGCAAAAGTGCACTTTCATGCAAATTTCGCCAACATTCAGTTTCAGAAATCTTGAGAAATTTCAGAAATCTGAGCAGAGGAATTTCCAATGCTCCAAATGAGACCATATTCAGTACGCAACAACCTTGAACCAAAACAAAAACAGGCAAAAACAACAACCCCCCCCCCCCATAAAATTTGACCCCCAAAACCTAATTTCAGTTTTGGACCTGTTAGTCAGGAGCTGAAACTGGGGGTCCCTGTTAACCACATGTGCTTTTTGCCCTTTTCTCCTTTTGCCCATTTTCCCTTTTTCCCTTTTGTCCATTTACCCTTTTGCCCTTCTGCTCTTTTTCCCTTTTTCCCTTTTTCCCTTTTTCCCTTTTGCTCTTTCGCAGGTTGTTGGTGGCACAGAGAGCTTGCCTCTATCTGACCCTGCATCCAGAGCTACACCCCTCTCCCCAAAGGAGTGGAGGGAGAAGATCGTCACAGCTGTGGCGGAAGGCAACTTTATAAAAGGACATGCAAGCCCTGCGATTAATCGACCTCGGCTTCCGGAAGTAGTTCACTCCATCCAGTTGTCGGAGGGACTGTCCTCCTCCAGAAGTTCGTCGTTCTCTGAATCCACAACACCTTCATCTTCAACTGTTTCAACACCTTCATCTTCCTCATCCGAAGGGTCCCCTCCTGTCTCCACCGAAGGGTCATTTAGACTCAACAAGGGGGATGAATCACTGGCTGAGGCTAATGATACAGGAAAAAGCGAAGTGTCAGGAACTTGCCGGCAACGACTCGACACCGCAGAAGCAGAAGATTCTGGCAGCGTCTCTGTTGCGGAAGAAACAGCAACTGGGGAGCTAAGTTCAGCAAGAAAGAATCTGAGGAAGCTTCTCCTTCTTGACGTCAGGAATGGTACGTGTGTGTGTGTGTTTGTGTGTGTGTGTGTGTGTGTGTGTGTCACAGTGTGTGTGTGTGTGTGTGTGTGTGTGTGTGTGTGTGTGTGTGTGTGTGTGTGTGTGTGTGTTGTCATGTTCGCTAAACACTAGACTGTTTCGTCGGACTTTCACTGACTCATCAGTGCAAGCGGATTTTGAACTGAGTTTATGGCAATCAGGAGGTTGTGTGTGTATAAACTGGAGGTGTTTAAACACAGACAACCTCATCTGGAGGTTGTGTGTTGTTTAAACCTCCGGCTTAAACACAGCACCTCCATTTGCCACCGAGATGCATACCAAAAATTGCAAATCATAATTGAAACATTCTTTCCATTTGGATATTTTCCAAACGATTGTGATGTTTTGCGATGAAATCGCAATTGTCTTTCTGGTCCGGTACGGCCAGAACGAGGGTGCGTTGTGTTTGGACTCTGGAGGATGGTGGTAATCTTTCTCAACTCCTCTTCTTGCTGTCCACCTCATGAATTGTTCTCTCTCCTTTTTTTTTTTCTTTTTTTTTTTCAACACTCACACTCACATGCCCCTTCTATCTATTCTTGGGGATGGCAGTCCGATTGCTCATCACCGGCGAGCTCTTAGAACAAGAACAAGTTCTTTCATGCGCTCTTTCCACGAGTTCTCAAAACAAATCCTCGTACGAAAACCCAACCCTTTTTCATCCTGCTGAGCCTGCTCACAATACTTTCAGTCATCGCCTATGGCTCATCTAAATCGGCTTTTTGCCACCTCTCAGGGGGTCTCAGCTTTCTGGGGTCCCAGCTTGGGGTCCAATCTCGCGGTGGATCCCCCACCTCTTGGGGGATCCCAGCTCTCGGGGGTCTCAGTTCTCGACAAGTCCAATCTTTTGGGGGGTCTCTCTCAGGGGTCTCCACCTCTTGGGGTGTTCCACTTCTTGGGGGGTTCCATCTCTTGGGCAGAAGTGGTTAACGGGTACCTCCTGTTTCAGGCCCTGGGTAACGGGTCCAAAACTTAAATTAGGTTTTGGGGGTCAAATTTTATGTTTTTTTTTATTATTATTATTTTTTTTTGGGGGGGGTCCACCTCTTGGGCACAAGTGGTTAACGGGGACCCCCAGTTTTGGGTAACGGGTCCAAAACTGAAATTAGGGTTTTTTTTTTTTTTTTT